TTGATTTAATTTTAAAATCGACTTAATTTTTAAAACCGTGGGGAAGGGGGGGAGAATGTACACGAAAAAAGTTAAAACTGTCATGGCGACGGAAACTCGGTCAAGCTAAAAAGTTATTCACCTTTGATCTTTTTTTTTTTTTTTTTTTATTCCTTGTCTGATTGTACTTTTTTTTTATGTAACTTTACGGACAAATTTGAACGATAACGATGATGATAAATAACAGACGGGGGGCAGAGGGGGGAGGCGAAAGAGAGGGAGGAAAAAAATTTTTTTTTTATGGAAAAACAATAATTTAATTTAAAAAAAAAAAAATGGCGACCGAAATGGCAAAAACAAATTATAAAAAAATAATTTCTAAAATTTTATTTATTTTTGGGGGGGGGGGCTTAAGAGAGGGGGGGGGGTAGTTTTAATTGAAAAATGGAATTTTTAATAAATTTTTATTTTATTTTCCGTTTGGGAGTACAAAGGGGGGAGGGGGAAAAAAATTTTTTTTTTTGGAAACTCAAAATTCAACTGCATTGCGCTTTCCTTTCTCTCTTTTTCTCCAGTTTTTTTTTTTTTTTTTTAACTCCTGGAATGAAGCCAATATATCGCATTCGAAAGCTAACAATAATCAAGAGAGAGAAAGAAAATGAGAGTGAGCGAGCGCGAGAGAGAGAGAGAGAGAGAGAATGGAAAGAAGAAGAAGAAAAAAAAAAATTTTTTTATTATTTTTATTTCTATTTTTTTTTTTTTTTTCCTTCCTTCATGAAGAATGAAAAAAAAATAAAGTGAGAGAGAGAGAGAGAGTGGGGAGAGAGAGAGAGATAGAAATTCATTTAATAAAACTGATTAAACTGGAGAATTTTTTTTTTTTTTTTGTAAATTTTATTCCCACCGAGTTTTCTTTTTTTTCTTTTTCTTTTTTTTCTCCAGAGTTTATTAATATTAATGAATAAAATGAGAAGAAAATGTCTAAACTTTCTCCAGTAAAAAAAATAAAAAAAAATCGTCTGCTTTTTTTTTTAAAAAAACATTTTTTAACCGATTTATTTATAGATGACGTCATTTCCTTTGCCAAAAAAAAATGGAATCCCCACAAAATATAAATTTTTCCCATTAAATTCCCCGGGAAAAAAAAATAAAAAAATTTAATTTTTTTTTCGGAGGGAAATCTTAGTTGGAATGCTGGGAAATTGGGAAAATCAAAACGGGTAGAGAGAGAGAGAGCAAGAGCAAGAGCCTGCTGGAAAATTTTCACCCGAAATCAATTATTTCGAACGTTTTTTTTCTGACAAAAAATAATAAAAAAATCGAACTTACCCATTGACGTTATAATGACACTCGTTTGTTTTTCCTCTTTTCCGTGTACTTCCCCCCCCTTTTTTTCCAATTCGAACGTTTTTCAATCATATTTACTGGGGGGTAGGGGGAACGTTTTCCGTTTCTCCAGACCGAACGGCTCAGACTGTAAAAGAAAAAAAATTAAATGATTTTCTTTATTTTATTAAATCCTCTTAACAAATTTCACGATGATTTTATTATTATTATTATTATTATTATTATTATTATTATTATTATAAGAAAACAAATCGTTCTGGAATTTTATAATAATAATAATAATAACAATGATGATGATGATGATGATGAAAAGCTTAAGGAGGAAATGATGATTTTATTCAATGAGAAAAATAAAAAAAAATTTTTTTTCTTTTTTTTTTTTGTCGGATTTAATGGAACTTGTTTTTAAATGCTTTTGGGAAACGGTTGTAAATAATAGGATGGAAAAACTGGAAAAGTCGAACCCGAAATGGGAAGGGGGAGAGAGAGAGAGAAAAGGGAAAAGAGGGGAAAGGGGGCGGGAAAGCATTGCGGTCGGTTAGGGTAGATAAATTTAGTGGCCAAATAAATTTCTCGGGGATTTTTTTTTTCTAAAAATTTTCTTTTCGTGATCCAAACCATGATGATGATGATGATGATGTTGTTTTTTTCGAAACGTTTAAACGTTGCCAAATTTACATGGAAATTACATTTTTAAAAAAATTTTTTCATTAAATTAATCAAAGAGGAAAAAAACTTTTTTGGAATCGAATAAGACGGAAAAGAAGAAAATTTTTCATTTCGTTCCATGTTGGAAACTTTTCTTATTATCGAAAAAAAAAAAAAATTTCCTTTTCCCTCCCCCTCTTCCCCCCCACTTTCCCTCCCTCCGATTTTTATTCGTGTATGCGTATATACATATTTAAAAATAAATAAATTAATAAGAAAAGGAAAGAAAAGTTTTTTTTTTTGTTTTGTTTTTCCAATTGGTTTGTTTGTTTTTTTCAAAACAAAAAAAATTTTCTTTTAAAGTAGTTTGCCGAGGTGAAAATGAAAAAAAGGAAAAAAAGGAAAATTTGCATGCATTTTTAAACAGTTTTCCATTTTTCCATTTTCTTTTCTTTTCTTATTATGTACATACACGATTGTTTTTATTAAATTAAATTAAATATACGTAGACATTTTACTTACACGAATTTTATTTTTTTTTGATTATTATTTATCCTATGACGTCATTGAAAAACAAAACTCGTGGAAAATTCTTCCATGAGTTTTCCATATTCGTTTCCAATAAAAAAATCAAGACTGGATTTGATTTTTTTTAAAAATGTCGCAAAGAATTTCCACTCAGATTTGATTTTTCTCTTCCTTGACACGGTCCTGAAAAGAAAATATTGGAAAATGTTAAACGTGACGTCATAAATTTATTAATTAATATTTAAAAAATAATTAAAGTAAATCGAGGAGACGGATGTTGTTGTATCGCACGCATTTTTTTATCGTACAAACACAGAAACAAACACAGAAACAAACACAAGCAGCACACGTTTGTTTCCGACAATCCCGACATATCCTTTTTTTTTGTACCTATTTCGATATTTTATACAAAAAAATTTTACAGAAAAAAAATTATTATTATTATTTGTATGATGGCGACATTTTTGTGATTTTTTTTTTGTTTTTTAATCCGGTTTTTCGTTTGTTTTGGTTTGTTTTTCCGGTAGATTTGAGTTTTTTTTATAAAAAAAAAAAAAAAAAATTTAAATTAAAAAAAATGTTTGTTTTTAAAATGATTACGTTTAGCTGTCGAGCACCGATTGCAAGTTTGGACTGCATGGAAGAATTTACTGGAACAAACGAACATTTAACAATGCATGCGACGGCGACGACGACGATGACGACGAGTACGACGACGAGTACGAGTACGACGATGGGAGTACCCGGAACGAAAGAAGCTCTACTACTATCAAATTTTCATTATCAAAATTCAATAAATTCTGGTACGAATCCTATATCGACGAGACAGGGAACCGTAACTCCAGGTTTAAGATATAGAAATTTAGGAAAAAGCGGATTAAGAGTTTCAAATGTTGGTTTAGGTAATGTACAATTCATTTTCTTTTTAAATTAAAATTTTTTAATGTTATAATAATTAATCAAGAAACATCAGCAGCAACAGCAACAGCAGAAACAAAAAGTTTAATAAAATAAATTTAAAAAAGTCAAATTCGTCAACGTTGAGTGATTAATGGCGAATGAATTATAGAAAGAAAAGAAAATGACGAGAAAATTTTTTTTTTTATAAGGAAAAGCAGAAGAAAATTTATTTTTTGTTTTTGTGTGTCGATGACAGGTACGTGGGTAACACTCGGTAGTAATTTGACAGAAGAACAAGCAGAAGAAGTTATGGTTATGGCATACGAAAGTGGAATAAACGTTTTCGATTTGAGCGAAGCTTATTCGGGTCCAAAAGCGGAAATAGAAATGGGACGAATATTGGGAAAAAGAGGATGGAAAAGGAGTTCGTATATAGTCACAAGTAAAATTTATTGGAATTCAAAATCCGACGAGAGAGGATTGTCCAGAAAGCACATATTAGAATCCGTGAAAGCATCTTTACAACGTTTAAATTTAGATTACATCGACGTCATTTTTTTACACAAAGCCGATCCCATGTGTCCAATGGAGGGTAAGTTAAAATGTCTCTAAATGTCGGATGAGAAACGCGTGATTAATTCTCGAATTTTCTCTTTTTTAATTAGAAATAGTGAGAGCTATGAATCACGTGATATCACAAGGATGGGCTTTGTATTGGGGAACGGCTAGATGGTCAACGGTTGAAATTATGGAAGCTTATACGAATTGTCGAACGTTTAATTGCGTGACACCGATTTGCGAACAATCTGAATATCACATGTTTTGCAGGTGAGGAGCTTTAGGGGGGAAAAAAAGAAAATTTTTTTTAGGTACTGTGCTGAAGAGAGAGAGTCGCTCTTATCACTATCATTTTCCAACAGGGAAAAAACGGAATTGTACATGCCAGAATTGTATAATAAAATAGGTGTCGGTCTCATGGCATGGGCACCATTGACAATGGGATTGATAAGTGGTAAAATAGAAGACAACGTCATACCGCTAGTCTCGAAAAGTTCTCTCAAACATAAATATTCGAGTTTTAGTTGGGCGGAAGAGGAAACGGCAAACAAAGAGGTAAACGGCAAAAAAAAAAAAACGAAACATTTTTTACAAAATAACGATTCAATTTTTCGCAAAAACAGTGCACGGGTTGGTTAAAGGAAAAACTACAACCGGACGAAATAAAAAAACAACAGGAAAAAATCAGGGATATATCATCGATGGCGGAAAAATTAGGATGCACACTAACACAATTATCAATAGCGTGGTGTTTAAAAAACGAAAGCGTACAATGTCTTCTGTTGGGTGCGACGACAGCGGATCAACTATACGAAAGTATACAAAGTCTACAGGTAGTGATAATGATGATGATGATAATGATGATAATGACACACTAATGACAAACTAAATAATGTAAAACGAGAACAATAATAACACGTTTCCCGTATCCGTATTGTTTTTATGATTATTTTAGCTTATACCAAAATTAAATACGAGTTTAATGTCGGAATTGGAAAAAATATTAGAAAACAAACCTACGAGGCCACCCATCGTTTCGACTCTGGCACTAAGATGACAATCAATATGCCCCTCAGGTGGAGTGGGGGGCTCCATCACCGACGATCAAAGTCCAAAGGATGAAGACGGTGAGAAAAAGGATAAAATAAATTTCTGCACGATTCAGTGACATTATTATTATTTTGAGATCCCTACGGCTTCGGCGAGAATATAATGCCGAGCCTTGGTGAGTAGCACCAAGAAAAAAAATGTCACTTAAATAATATCATTTTACTATTTTTCATTGTGATAAGAAAATAGAAAAAAAAAAAAAAAGCACGAAACTCACCTTTTACGCTTAGTTTTTCATTTTTCATTTTTTTTTTTATTATTATTAATTTGCTGAGCATTTTTTTTCTCAGGGATGCTTTTTTGGGCTTCGGCTTTACACACACACACACACACTCCTGGGTGAAACCTGGTGGTACCGAGGTGAAACCTAGAAAAAATTATTTATATTAAAAATAATGATAATAATAATTGTTGAATGTAGTTTGAATGAATAGATAAAAGGAAAACAAATGAGGAAAATTAAAAAAATTGTGTTTTTGTTTTATGCTGTAGGTGATGGAAAATTAGAAAAAACTAAATACACTACCGCTAATTACAAACAATTGGAACAACAAGCAAAGGATAAGAAAATATCTCCAAGTGGAGGAACTGAAAAACAAAAATATACAACGGCCAATTACAAACAACTCGAAGCAACGGCTAAACAAGAGAAAAAAATGGCAGAAGCAGAAGAAAAACAAAAGAAATCACCGAGTGGGGAAAAATCTAAAACTGAAAAATTAAAATATACAACGGCGAATTACAAACAACTCGACGCCATGGCAAAAGAGAAAAAATTACAACACAGTTCGATTGTCGAAACGAATGAAAAAATTATTAAAAATTTAGAAAAAACTGGTACTTCTTTAATGAAAAGCATTGAAAAAACAAGTAGCATGTTATTAATGAGAAAATCTAAAAGTTCTACGACTTTCGGAAGCACGGCCGATATAAAAGAAGACGAACAAAACTTACCAACACTCGTTTAAATAACACGTCCGACGCCATTTTGATAAAACAAACGAATAAACAACGTTACTTTTTTTCCCGCACTTTTTACCCCCTCTAGTGTTCGCTTTACGTACTTCGACTACTACTCAAATCAAATCAGATTCTTTTTTTCATTCGCGCACATAATAATTTTAATTTATTCTTTCCTAACGGAAATAATTATTTACAGTATTATTATTATTAATAAATAAATAAAAAAAAACAAACGAAAACAAAATGGCCGCCGATTTTTTATTTGTCGTTTGTTAAAAAAAAATTTAAAATATTTATTGTTGTTAAAAAAAAAAATTAAAAGCAATTGATTAGCATTCGTTATTTTGTTAATTTTATATATAATAAAAATTTTAAATTTCTTATTTATATCCACTCTTACATATATATATATAAAGTAGTTTAATTAATTCGCCATCTTGGTGATTTGTATTATTTATTATTATTATTATTACTATTAATTATTATTATCATCGATAAAAAAAAATACTCTCGAACGAAACAAGACAAAATTTTGTTTATTTTTTCTTATTCGATTAATCGATCCATCGATCAATCGATCAATCGAAGCCTACGACATTTTTTCCAATCATCATGACAATCTTAATTAATTATCCAACGATAATAATAATAATAATAAATTTGATTTTTTTTGGTCATCATTCAAACGATTATCATTATTATTATTATTTTTACATTTTTTTTTCTGTTATTTAATAATAAACATTTCTATTTATTAATAATTAATAATAATAATAATAATAAAGGGGTATATTTCTCTCTCAAAAAATTGTTAGCAATAATTTTAATAATAATAATAATAATAATAAACTACGCGATTTTTTTTATTTAAATTATTTTATGTGTAGACTGAATGATCCGACCAATCAGAAAACAAACAAAAAAAAAAAATTTCAACGATCCACGTGTGCATCAACGTGAGATTTTTTCCCTCTTTTTTTTCCAGGGGGGCGGGGGTGGGGGGTGGGGGTGTAGTTTAAAAAAATTATATAATTAAACTTTATAAATAAAAAATAGTTACCGAATATATAAACTTATTAAATAAATAAATAAATTTTTCTCAGTACAATTTTAAATTATTATTATTATTATTATTATTATTATTATCATCATCATCATCATTACTATTACTATTATTATTATTATTATTTTGAAAAAAATAAAAAAGAAGCCTTTTATTAATAAATAAAAATTGTCGTACAAAAAGAAACTCGTCACACAGACGATACCAACAAACGTACACATTTTCGCGCAAATAATAATAATAATAATAATGATATCAAACAGCAGAAGAATATTTAATAATAATAATAATGATGATGATGATGATGATGATGATGATTTTCGTTTGTTTGTTATTAAAAGGTAAATCGTAAATTTTTATTAAAGGGATGGGAGACTTTATCTTAAACTAATACCTTCTAATCATTTATGATAAAAGTTTTTAATTAATTTATTAATAATAATAATAATAATAATGATGATGATGATGATAAATATTTCGAAAATCTATTAGAAAATTGTTTTTAGAAAGAAAAAAGATAAAAAAAAAAAAGTTTAAATAATTTTTTTAAGCACAATAAAAGGCCTTTTTAACGTTAGTTATTAAATTACTTTTTAAAAATTTCAATAACTTGTTATTATTAATATTATGTAAATAATAGATTATATATATTAATAGTTAGTTAGGTTATTAATAATAATAATAGTTAGATTCGTTTTAATTACTTCGTCATTATTATTATTGTTACAAAAGGTAAATGAAGAGAAAAAAAAAGCTTCTTATTTTAACTATTGCTTTTCCTAAATTGCTACTACAACTGCTGCTGCTGCTGCTGGTCGGTCAAATTTATTAATTAATAATAATAATAATAATGATGATAATGATAATGATAATGATGATATTTTTTTCTTTAAATTTTTACTCGATAGGCCTAAAAAATTATATATTAATTCAGAAATATATATTTATATATATATAATCATCATTATTAGTTGGTTTTTTTTTGACGTCATCGATTTATTGATTATTAGTATTGATAATAATAATGATGATGATGATAATATTGTAAAGAAAAGAGAGTAGAAAAGGGGATAGAGAAAATAAATAAATAATTTTTTCGTTTTTAATTTGTTCACTCCCGTCAAATTTTAAGATTAATAAATAATAATAATTTTAATAAGATTAATAAATTGATTGATGACGTCATTTAACTATTGTTACGTCACTCCCTTAACGGTTTTTTTTTAAATAAAATTTTTAAATGATGATTATAATAATTATTAGATTTATTATTAAAAAAAGAAAATTTTATTAATTCTTTTCAAATTGTTATTGTAAAAAAAAATAAAATTTTATTAATAATAATAATAATTATTAAATAAATAAATAAATAAAAGTTTTGTAAAAAAAATAAGATAAATTATTTATTTATTAAATATATATCGTTTAGTTTATTCGTCATCTCATTTTTTTATTGTTATTTTATTAATAATAATAATAATGATAATAACGATTAATAAATTTTAATCTTTTGAACTATTTTATTTATGTATTTTATTTAAATATTTTATTAATATTAAAAAAAAAAAACTTGGCCTTAATTAAAAAAAAATTATTATTTATTTATTTATTTATTTTCTCTTTGCAATATTTTAATTAATTAATGTTCAAATAACGAATTTTATTTATTTATTTATTTATTAACTCGAAGGTTGTGCTACTATTATTATTAATTAATTAATTAATTAATTTCTTCGTGATAAATCAATTTAAAAAAAAAAAAATAATAATAATAATAAATTAAAACTTATTTGAAAAACTTTTTTGCTTTTTTTACTCATCATCCTTTCTTTCCTTTTACCGGAATGTTTTTTTTTTTGTAAACGAAATAATAATAATAATAATAATAATAATAATAATAATAATAGTAATAATAGTAACAATAATAATAATTTTTAATCGTTTTATATAAAAAATTAAAATTTTATTTATTTATAAAAATTTATACAACGTAATTATATTTATTTATTTATTTTTTATTTTTTTGGTATAAAATTTGTGCCGTATAAAAAAAAAACACATTTTCGACATTAAAAATTTAAATAATAATAATAATAATAATAATAAATTAAATTTTTTTTGTAAAAATACAAACAGATCATCATTTATTTATTTATTTCATTAATAATAATAATAATAATAATTGTTTTTGCTGTAATTGTGCGAATTAATCGTGGGAAATGTTTTGTCTCAGTCTTTTTCTTGTCTTCTTTCGAAAAAAATTTAATTAATTAAAAAAAAAATTTAATTAATTTATATACACGTGTGAATACGCGTGGAAATCGACAAATTTTTTTTTTTTTATAATTTCCCGGGAGATACTTTTCCAGCTATTAAAAAAATAATTTTTGGTTTTAAAATATATTTCTTTTTTTTCCTTCTTCTCCTTGTTTTTAATAGAGAGTACGTGCATGCGTACGTATGCTTGCACGTTCGCGAGAAATATAAAATGTTTTATATATATACGTATATATAAAATATATAATTATACTATTATTATTATCATTTTCGGACGGTTTTTAAAGCTTCGATCGAATAAAAAAGGCAACAACGGATGAACAAACGACTATTGTTGTTTGCAACCGTCTCTTTGTTTTGATTTTTTTTCTGGTAACCTTCTTTGACCTTGAATCGGCATGTAAGGCGGCGCGTTTCCCTCAACGGTAAAATCTTTTGGAAATGAAATAAGACAAAAATGTTATGTTCGGATGCACGTTTTGAAAACCGAAAACAATTTGCGTTCGTGGATACTTGCCTTCTTGATTGAAATCCGACAATGAATTATCATCCATCGTTGGATTTTTTTGAGATTTGCTTGAAATTTTCTTCAATCTCGGATTCCTTTCTAAATTTTCACGGGTATACGTCGGATCGATGGTCATGGCGATGTTCGCCGATGATATCGAACTCTGATCGGGATCCCTGTGTATTACTACTATTTCTTCCGGATCGGGATACCTAAAAAAACAACGAAAGAAAGACAATTAACCAAATGAAATAATCAATCAATCAATCAATCAATACATTTTAATTTATTAATAATCGATCGAATATTTCACCTGGGTTTAATTAATTTTTTATTAACTAAATTCGTAGGTACGGATTGTCGTCGTTCTTTGTGCTCATCATCATCATCACCATCATCACCATTATTATCATTATTATTCAACTTTCTTTGACAATTGACCGGAACAGTTTCGGCAATTTTGATCGTTAAATTATCCGTATCGCGTCCGATGATTTCTTTCGAAATTTCTTTTTCTTCTTCTTCTTCTTTCATTCTTTTCAACGACGCTTTCTGTTTGGCTCTTTCTCTCGCTCTCCTCGCTTTCGCCCTTTCTTTTTCCTGTAATAACCTCGCTAATTCTTTGTCTTGAGTTTCAATAGCCAACAATCGATCTCTATTGACCGTGTCTTTATTTTCTAAATCTTCTTTTTCTTGTAAGTACCTCGCGTATTCCTAGAAAAAACAAAACAAAAATTTCTCGTACAAATCAATGACATTGATGATTGATTGACACCACGCGTTCGTCTTGTTGCGTCGTTCTTGAATCTTTCACTGATTGAAGAGTGTCATTCTAGTCATGATATCTTAACAACATGGACTAAAATTTCACTCTTCGACCAACAAAAGACATATTATTTTCTTAATTTATAACAGGAGAAGAATAATAATGATGATGCATACCGCATCTTTTTCTTCTTGTATTCTCTTTATGTCTTCTTCGGATATTAATGGCGGAGAACCAGTGCTAAGCCTGTAACTTGATCTACCATTTAAATGACATTGCCTGAAAAGTAACACCGAAAGAAAAAATTAGTCTCGATAAGTTAAAAATGTAAATAATAATAAAAAATTATTTATTAAATGTAAGAAAATTTTAATTAAAATATAACCAACCTTAATGGTTCTATTATATCATCTTGCAGAGGTAATCCGACATTATTGATATCGCTTAAATTATCACTGTAATAAACGGAATCATGAGTTGAAGGCTGACTAATATCCATGTGATTTAAAGGCTAAAAAAAAAATTACAGAAAATATGATTTGTAAATCATTAGTTAGGTGTAGATAAGGTAGATTAAACATTCCATGTATGAATGTAAAAAAAAAAAAAGAAACTCACTTGTTTTTGATTCATTGAATAATATTGTTTATCTTTTCTAGGCGTATGAGTTTCTAATTCTCGAACTGTTTTTTCTTTTTTCGACATTTTACACTTTTCTTCTTCCTGTTAGCATAAATTTTAATTAAAAATAATGGGAAAAAAAAAATATAAAGAAAAACAATATTTGTCAAAAATTTTAACCTGTAACAATTTCGCTAATTCTTTATCTTCCTCTTCTAACATTCTTTTTTTTTCTTCTTCTTCTTGTTCGATATGATATGCCAATTGAGCAGCAACCTTTGCATCTTGTTGTTCTCTTTTAAAAAAAAAAGAATTAATAATTTTCATCACATTGTTAAATAAATTAAAATAAGTGAGATAAACTTACTGTTGAAATAATAATTGCTGATGCAATCTTGCAGCTTCTTCGACTTCTCTGAGTTGTTCATTTTTTGCTGTTGGAAAATCTTCTCTTATTTGAATATTTCTTGATTTGTTACCAATCAAATGTTGTTTTACTAAAAATAAATTATTCAAAACAATTTTTACAAAAAATTTACACCATAATGACGTGGAAACATTAATTTATGTTTATATATAAATTGAATTAAATAAATCTTACTTTCTTCATTTTGCAAACGATAAGCCAACGCCCCATCTTCGTGTACAAGCCATTCTCGTCTAACTGAAATATTTTATTAAAAAAATCAATTAAAAAAAAAAAAAAATCACACATTTAAAATCTATTACTCATCTAATGAGGTTATTGAAAAATATGAATACAACTTCACGGAAATAACAATTCACCTAACCTTCATTTACTCGTCCCCTTGGTGGAAGAGTATCAACATGATTTTTTCTATTTTCTTTCATTGATTCTATTTCACAATTCATTTTAATTAATTAATTAAATTAAAAAAAATTACACATAAATTAAATTGAATTAAATTACTATTCGAACTACAAAAAAAAAAAAAAAAAAAAAAGTAAAAAAAAAAAAAATTTTTTTAAATTACGTGTGTAAATCTAATCTAGTCCACCTTCCTTTCATTCTTTGTTTTCTAAATTCTTGTGTGAATGCAGTGCTGCCAACTGGTTTTTCTATTTATTTTATACGCGATGTTTTAAAACTAAACGAGCCGTTAAATGTCATAGAGTAAAACCTAGAAAAAAAAAATCATTATTAAACTATTAATATTGAATCGTTTAATAAATATTCATTCTTATTTCAACATTTAATAATATTTTTACAAATAAACTATTACAAATTACCATTTTCTTTTTTTTTTTTTTACATTTGCTCGGGTAATATTATTATTATCATTACTACTACTACTACCACGAAAAAAAAACTTTCACTTATATGACCTCGTAAATAAGGAGGAAAACATCCATTACGATATTTTTTTTTTAACTTTTAACTTTTAATTAATTAACTTTTTAAAATAGTGTTTAAAAAAAAACTTTCACTCGATATAATATAATAAAAGGATTTTTAAAAATGAAATGAAATTAATCAATGTAAAAAATAAAATGCGCATGTTTAAAATAAATTTAGGGGTGGTCCTTGACAATGGTTCCACCCTCAAATGTAATCACACACACAAAATAAAATAGTTAATAGTCAAACTTTGACAACTCTTAGTTACATATTATTCGTTTTTTTTTAAAAAAAAATTAATATAAATATATATAAATACGTCACGTAGTTTTGTGTGTACGAATAAATCGTAAAATATGAATAATTTCAATATGGTGGTGAAAAAATAAAAGTAATTATAACACAAATCATAAAATATAATAATTTACGTATATAATTCGTATTATTATTATTATTATTATTATTATTATAGAATATTTTTTAAATTTTAATTTGATTGGATGAAAATTTTTTTATTTTCATCCGACGGGATTTTACAATTAAAATCAATCATTTGTTTAAAAAAAAACCGTTAAACGTTTTAACGGTTTTTTTTTGTTGTTCAATTCGATTATTAATTCGATAGTTGTCGATAATAATATTGTTAATGATTTTATCTCTTATCAAAACATTGTTTACACACGTGTACGACGCGTGTCAACACTTAGCACGCTGGTAACGATAATAAATCTTTTTTTAAAAAAAACCACCAACCACCCTCCATTTTAAATCTTGTTTTTTTTTTTTTAAGTAAAAATTTATTATAAATCACGTGATTTTTAAAATTATTATTATTATTATTATTAAAAAAAATAAAATTATGTGAAATTTTTTTTCGTACAATAAAAAGATAAAGAAAAAAAATCAATAAAAAAAAAAAAATGTATAACATGGAAAATATGGATTTGGAATCGGTTAATAGACAATTCCTGTTGGAATCTCAAGGATTTTTAGAACCCATATCATCATCCGGAAGTGGTGGGGGTGGTGGTGGTGGTGGTGCGGGTTCTTGTACTTCAAGTTCATCGGCACATAGCGATTTATTTTTTTACGATGATAGTTCAAATTCGGAAATGTCAACATATTCTTACGGTACCGACGATGAAAACAGTCCGGAAAGTGCAGGTACCACCAATATAAAATTATTATTATTATTTTGTTTTGTTTTTTTTTTTTTGAAAATTAACCGTTAAAAAAAAAACGCAGGAAGTTCGAATAGAAGAATAGTTAGACATAGAAGAAGGAGTAAATGTTTACAACAGCAAGTTCAACAAAGGCAAGCAGCTAATTTAAGAGAAAGAAAAAGAATGCAAAGCATAAACGATGCTTTCGAAGGTATTTTACGCGGCAAATTTTGTTTACATTACGACAACCGCCGCCATCACCATAATAATAATAATAATAATAAATTTTTTAGGTTTGAGAGCACACATACCGACATTACCCTATGAAAAACGTCTTTCTAAAGTTGACACACTTAAATTAGCCATCGGTTACATTAATTTTTTAAGCGAATTAGTAAGAAATGATAAAAATGGAGAAAATGGTTTAAGTTTAAAAACGGGTAATTGCAATCATAGAGAAGAACCTAAAAAAATTCTCGTTCGAGGTAAGTTTAAAGAATAATTTTGTGACGTCACAAACCACGTTCAGAAAACAACAAACAATTAATAATTTTCCCATCCCTCTTCATATATACACACACACCGTGAAATAATGAATTGAATTGAATTTTTTTTTGTTACAAAAACGATTTTCCACGGTTTTCCTTTTCATTTTCCCGTAACCCCGGGTCACGGTTTGTTTTTACATTTAACATCCCTTTCCGGTGTCATGTCAAAGGGGCAGATGTTCACCACACACAATATTTATATTTTCATCCCTTGTATTTTTAATTATAATTATAATAGGTTATAATGATAACGAAAAATTTTCCCACCCCCTTCTAATTTTTATTTCATAACGCAAAAATAACAAGTGTGTATGTTACCCTCCCCCCTCTCCATTATTATTATTATTATTAATAAAATAAAAACGTACCTTAAATAAAAATCATTCAATTCGACAATTAATTATCCTTTTCATCGTACCTGAAAAAAACATTCTTAACCACCTTACCGTTGACTATTTGAAAGATCATCGAGAAAGAAAGACAAAACACATATGATACCTACATACCTACCTACCCATCTACGTATCTACCCACCTACCTACCTATCCGTTAACAATGTAAAAAAAAATTATCATTTAAAATTACTTTTACCCAACAAACAACAACAAACGACGTCGACAAATTACAATTTAATTACGCAATAGAAAAGTTAAATATTATTATTATTATTATGTTTTCTAATCGTTTCTTTTACCTTTTTTCGGGTTAATGTTTATTTAATTTTTTTTTTTTGGTAGGATATTACGGAGGTACTCATAGTCTTTCGTGGTCTAGTAACAAAGAAAACGGTTGTAATGGTATAATGCATGCTAAAGTTTGGACACCTGAAGATCCACGTGCATCAAAATCAACGTCAACCGCGGGAAATTATTCATCGTATTCAAATTAAATATGGCGGACGTCGAATTATTTTTAATAATAATAATTATCGAAAGCCTTAAAAACCAAAACGAAAAAAACAAAACTAGTCTTTTCTATTCTAGTCAAGAGAAATAAGACGAAAAAATTTTATTTATTTATTTATTTTACGCTTTAATAAAAAAAAAAAAAACAAAATGGCGACGACGACTTTGTGTGTGTGTTTGTGTTTGTCGAATAATAACGATCGACCGGGTTACAAACATCATCATTGCCAGTTTTTATGACCTTAATCACTCCCAAATTCTATGCCAACGTTCTCTCTCTCTCTCACTCATTCAGGTCGTGCCACTTTTATAAATTTATTTATAATATGTTTGTTTAAACAAATAATAATAATAATAATAATAATAATAATATGTAATTTGTATGGTTAATTAATAATAATTTACGAAAATTATTTTTTTTTTTTTTTTTACACCCCTTAAAGGATGCAAGTGTGTCGATTATTTTGGAAAAAAGATGAGTGAGTGGTTGTTGTTGTTGTTTGTAGGGAAATAAATCGAAAGGAGGAGTGAGTAGGATGGGATGGGGGGAGAGGAGGGGGAAACGGCTAATTTTCACGGAAAACTATAAACGAAAAAGGAAAATTGATTGAATGGCATGAAATGAAATGGGTTCATAATCGGGAACACTTGTAAGAAGTTCATCAATTTTACATCATCGTGAGGGAGGGAAAAAAAAAATACGCATCTTGGGAATAAAAGCATATGTTAGGATGGGGGGTGAGGGTGGTGAGAAATGGGAAAAAAAAATTCACGAAGGGATGATGATGATGATGATGATGATGATAATATTGTGCGTATAACGAAGGAAATATAAAAGCTCGCCGTCCAATCGTTTGAATTAGGCGGAGCTTTTACGTTATAAATTTTCAAACATGGCGTCTCTGTGCTGGCGCTTAACTTTAAACTTTTTTTTTTTTCCCCTACAGATTTAATTTCGACATTCGGAATTATTCCGTAGATTTTTTCCTTATTTTCCGACTCTTCCCTCCCTTCCCCCTCCCCGCACACTCCCAAACCCCTCCCCTTTTTTTTAAAAAACGTAAAAATTAAAACATTAAAACGAAATCTTTTTTTTTTTTTTTTTTTTTTTTTTTTTTTAAATTTTCGACAATTTTCCACTTTTATTTCGACAAATTCAAACAAACGAACAAACAAACAAACAGTGTAACAAACGTTTAATCTTTTTATTACGTCATCATCATTATAAATTTATTTTATTTTATTTTAATTTATTCTCGAGGTATCCGCCATTTTTCTTTATTCGAACGCATTTCGGATTTTTTTTTAATTTTTTTTATTTACTGATTCGCGTTCGTTATCAACAATCGAACGAATTGATAATAGATAACGTTCGACTCGTTCCATTTTTTTTTTTTTTTTTAAAACGGATTATTTTTAACGGACGATGACGATGACGATAGGAAAATATCAACCCCCTTGGAGAAGTTTAAAAACCCTTAAATCCTTACGTACATATCAACGCATTATCACTTCTCTTTATCAATTATTCGAATAAAATAATCCCAACAACAATGAGATTTCATACTACGATAATAATAATAATGATAATAATAATAATAATAATAATAATAATAATAATAAAATCCGTACACTTATAAATGGATCAATTGTGAAAAGGTGGTCGGTTGATTTTTTTTTTTTTTTGAATGGGTCGTCGTGACCCATTTTATCAAGTCAAACCAGGTGTCATCATCATCATCATCATCATCATCGTCATAAGAGGTAAACCCTCTTCATATTACCACTTTTTGCGGTCATTTTTTCATCATCATCATCGTTTTGGGGGGGTCACGTCACGTGGGCACATCTCAAACACGATAGAAAAAATTATATTTCGTAAATATGTTAAAAAATAAAAATGGCGACGGTAAATATTATTTATTTATTTATTTGAATTCTTCGAGTGAAAGTCGGCCGATCGATCAATCGATAGATCGATTTAAATTTCTTTTTATGTAAAATCGATTAATAATAATAATAATAATAATTTAATTTATTTTTAGTTATTTAACCCGAAATTTTATTATTTTTCCGCCCTTAATATTATTATTATTACGAATCCCTCCCATTTCATGAATCGTCCCATTTAAAAATCAAAATCGTTCGACCGGAAATATCCAGAAAAAAGAGAACTATTCCCGATTATTCCCTTTTTTTTATTATTATTTAAATAATTTAGTGTGAAATTTTTAAAATTTTTTTTGAATAAAAAAATTAAATTAACGTAAATAAATTTTTTTTTTTTTTTACCGGAAGTTATTTAAATATTTTTTTTTTAAATAGATACTCATTTCAGGTATCTATCTATCGAATCGAATCGAATTTACTTTTTGTTTAGAAAAAAAAACCTGAAAATAAATTTAAAAAAAAAAAATACGACAAGAATTTCATCATTTGCAAATATTGATTCGGAATTAAAATATAACATGCGCAAAATCTATAAAAAAGGAAAGAAAATTCTTAATGGTAGTATAAAGTAAAAGAAAAAGATAGAAAATTAGGTGGTTATGAGGGAGGAGGTTAAGGGAGATACAAAAAATGTATCAGGTGTAATTTTTCTCACGGTTTAAAGTTAAAGAATTTTTTTTTTTACTTTTTTCTCGTACACGAACGTAAATTTTTTATTATTTTCTCATTAAAAATTTAATTTATCGAAATCGTCAAGTTTTTTTTTTTTTTTTTTTTTTTCTTCTGCTTACACGATAAAAATAATTTTTTTTTTAGGTTACGTTTGACGTAATAGACAAAAAATTTTTTGTGTGAAGATGTGCGGGGTCTGAAAAACTGTATGAGACAGGTGTTTTTTTTTAGTGGTTGATTCTCGACAAGTTTTAACATTTTAAAGGGAGTATTAGCCACCCCTTGTGTCGACAAGCATCCAGCTGCGTCTGTTTATATTAAGGGTTGATATTCGCAAAACCATTATCATATCCATCTCTCTCTCTCTCTATTCGAATGCAATTAAAAATTGTTCGCTTTTGATTATTATTATTATTATGAAAAATTTAAAATCGGATATATATATATAAAAAGAAAATTCTTTTTTGACCCTCCCTAAACACACGCACGCACGCGCACACACGCACGAAAGAAATGGAAAAAAAAAAAAATTTTTTTTCTCTTTTCCCGTCGTTTGCGAGTACACATGCACTCGCGATTCGTTCGTACGAATGATGACGATTTCGGTACGAGTGCACTTAAATATTGTATTATGTCTAGACTGAAATGCAACGCGATATTTTTTTTTTCATATCACACCCGCATAATTTTTATTTACTCGTGTAAATATTAGAGAGAGAGAGAGAGAGAGAGAGAGAGAGAGGGAGGAAGAGAGAGGGAAAAAGGTTAATTTAGGGAATAGTTTAATAAATAAATAAATTTTGCAATTCGAATAAATAAAAAGAAAAAAAAATGACAATAACGACAGAATGTGTGCGACGGCGACCGTTGATTGATCGATTGATCGATCTATCGATCGATTTCAAATCGATACTATAATAATTTAAATCAGGTTTAAATAATTTTACCCGAATTTAAATTATATATTTTTATTATTTCGATGATGTTAAAAATTTGTGACGATGACGACGATGATGATGATTATTTAACGATACTCGTACACCCTCCTCCCTCCTCCCGCCCCCTTCCCTCCCACCACTCCGAAAGAAAATATATATGTATAAAAAACCTAATTTTATAAAATAAATAATTATGTACATATATTTATTTACTTAATTACTTATTACTACTACTTATTATTATTAAGAATTTATTTTCGTCGTCCATTTTCGGCGTAAATTTATTATTTTTTTTATTTATGACAAATTTGTACTTTTTTTTTTTTTTTTTTTTAAATTATTTGGAACGTTCACGTTCGGGGAAGAATTAATTTGTGCGTAAGGGGAAAAACGTCCATTTTCTTTTTTTAATTTAAAAAAAATAATTTTTTATTATTAATTATTATATCGAAAAGTCAAACATTTTTTATCCCACTCGTTCGCCATTTTTTTTTTTCCCCCATCAAAATCGTCATAACATTCGAACTTTCTACTCTACTCACTCACTCTCTCTCTCTCTCTCGCACACACACACACACACACACATACACACCCACGTACCTTCTACCCCTTCAGCTATTTTTCCGAACCTGAAATTTTCAATTTTTCACCGGCCGACGTTTTTTTTTTTTTTTTTTACCAAATTATAGATTTTACCGAGACATCATTCAATCATTCAATCATTCATTCAATCATTCACTCACTCATTCATTCCCTTCTTTTAATAACCCTAAAAACTAATCGAAACTTGACGTTAACAAAAAAAAAACCCCCAAAAAAAAAAAAAAATTTATCTAAAAAATTATTACTACGTGTACAAAGCTTTATATACACGATACTTTTACAACATAATTCCTATTATTATTATTATTATCATTATCATTATTATGTACATTGGCAGAGTTTTTTTTTTTTTTTTTTTTGTTTCCCAAAAGAAAAGTAAAGAAATACTTTTGCTTTTTTTTGTTTGTTTATAAAATTAAATTTTTAAGTCTGTTCAACTAATCTAAAAACTTTTTCTTTCCTTTTTTTTCCTTTTTTTAAAAAATTCATATCGTTCGATTCGCTTTATTTCATTTCCTGTTTCCCGTTTCCCGTTTCCGGTTCTCCGACTCTTTTTTTTTTTGGTTTCCCCTACTACGATAGATTGTCTTCAGCTGCCAATTTATTTAAAGCCTTTTCAACTAGGTGCTACATTTGCTGATGAGAATCATCTCGGCGTGCAACCATCTGGAAAAAATCGAACGTGCGTTAAAAGATAATAATGATAATTAAATGCCTAAAGAAAGAAAAATTTACCGATGGTGACGTCACCACGGGAACCTGACCCGACGTGCTGTAATTTTGATTATGTTGATAAGACGGATTATTTCTCCTGTTGGCTCCTTCCATTCCCGATGAATTACGTTCGGCACTCCGAATGTTTCCAGTCTGATTCGTTTGATTATAAATCGTCGTCGCGTTCGAAGGATTATGCCTTAAACAACAAAAAAAAAAAAAAAAAAATTTTTTTAACATTGCACGATAATAATAATCGATGGATTGATGATTGTACCTTATCGTAGGACTTGACTGACTCGTGGTTCTATTATGCCCTACGTAATTTTGTGAAGGCTCGGGAGGTAGGCCGTTTTCCATTCCACCATACTGTTGTCTATGACTCCCTCTATCGTTTTGTTGTTGAGCGGAATTGCTACTATTTTGCGGATGAGTCGTCGTTTGGCTTACTGCAGCAAAAATAAAAAAATAAAAATTTATTCATTCCCTTCCTTTTGAAAACATTATTCGAGGATGAAAAAATTATAACCTGGAGTCGGTTGAGTATTTAGGGGTACCGCAAGTCTCGCATTGACAGCTAACAAATGATCTCTTCTTTGCAATAAACTATTAACGTGCTCTTCTAATTTTAAATTTTCAGCCTTTAATTGATGAAGACAGGATAGTAAAGATGCAACTGCAGAAAAAAAAAAAAACCATAAGTATTATTATTATTTTAAAACCTTGAATCATAATAATCATTTTCCTAACTACTACTCACTATCGAAATGCTGCGCTTGTTCCATCAAAAACTGACTTCCCTGTTCCCATTGCCTTTCCAACAATTGTTCTAAACTTTGCGCTTGAGTTGGACCTTGAGATGACAAAGTGCTATTCGATGTCGAACTCGAAGAACTAGATGGATTCCCTAAACTTAATAAACTGTTTGCCGCGGAGAGAGACGCCGAATTTGCATTTCTTTCCGCGTTCGAAGCCCGCGCCTGAAAGTTAGGGTGAAATGACATTTTTGTAAAAGAAAATTCACGCAGACGTTAAAGAGCATCGACAACCAACCACTCCCCTTACCGAAGCCACAATTTTACTATGTAGTTGAGGACCGATTAAATTAGAATTTGTTTCCGACGTGTAAATACTATGAGCTTCAACTTCTTGATTTAAACTATCGTGCATTTTTTGAGCCATCGAAGAATTTGGATTTAACTGGTTGCCCAACATGTGTGGAACGCTCATGGCGTTGGGAATTAACCTGTTACACGTTCGGTCACATGGATTACCATGAGGTAAACAATAAAAAATCACAAAAGAAAAAACGCAAAAAAAAAAAACTCACGGTTTAACATCTTTTTCTTCCTGCTTTATAACGGACGTTGTTGTTGTTGTTGTTTTTTTTTTAATTATTTTTCGAGAATCTTCGGGACTTCCCGGCGAGGAATCCTTTAAATCTCTTACGGCAGTTTCCCCGCTTCCCGAAGACGTTCGTCCGATTCTTTTAGGAGGCTGTGAATTTTGACTTCTTTTATTTTTTTTACTTTTATCCGAGGAAGACGATCTGTATACAAAAAAAAAAAAAATTTTTCATAGAGTAAAAATTTATGCCATTTGTTAATTAATTATTTTACAAAATAAAAATTGAAAACCTGGCTCTTTTCGCGGGTTGAATGTCGGAACTTGAACTCGATTGTTGTTTCCAATCAAGGTGATTTCCGTTAAATGACATTCGATGATTGGGTGAGGCTTGAGATTCGGTCAGTTTTTCCGACGAAATACTCGAATTAACTGAATTAACTGTGTTTAAAGCAGAATTACTAGAATTACCTTAAATCAAATGAAACGTTAAAAAAAAAAATAAAAAAAAAAAAAACATTTAGATGCGTTTTTCGCGACGATTAATATTTAAAATTTTCACCTGTTTGCAAACCACCCAACGATGAATCAGTCTTTAGTCTGCTAAAATTATCATTTTTACTTTCTACGTCTCTTTGGGCAGATATTGTAATTTTCGTTCCCGATCCTGTAACCGTTAAATTTGTTTTAGAACCTGATGTTAGTCCGGATGATTTGCTAAGACCTAAAGGAAAAATAAATGCGGTTGCTAAAGCCAAAGATATGAACCAAAAGCCCGAGTCAAGCTTAAAAATTTTTTTTTTTTTTTTGACGTATTATTATTATTATTATTATTTCACCTGATGAGTTAATGCTTTTAGATGCGGATGTCAAAGTATTGGTTTTCAAATTAGTAATACTGACAGTGGGATTTTTAATGGTTGTTACAATACTAGCGGTACTACTACTTGACAAAGTCGAAATAGATGAATTTGTTGCATTGCTTCCGGAAGCCTCAGATGAAGCATTTTCTAAAAAAGCGGTGATTGTAATATATTTACGATTCCTTAAAACTTACCACGATTACTTATTATTATTATTATTATTATTATAATAAGGGGTAAATTACCTGATTTCACTGGAGATGTTACGTTTCCAATACTGCCTTTTCTTTTTTTTATACTTTTATTGAAATCTAATGAAGCATCAGTCGTTTTTAAAGTATCCGAACCGAAAACAGGTTCGCTTTCAGTCACAACGGTTTCGGTAAAATTACTCGTGGTAAATTTCTTTTTCAATTCCGTACCATCTTGAGAACTTTCTTTAATCGAACTGTTAACGTGAGAACTGGTAGTTCCTATTTTTAATGTTATGACTTCGCCGTTCGACGTCCTATCTTTATCAGATTCTCCGCTGCTGTTTAAACCGAAAGCAGGTTCCGATACGGGTGAAGGATTCGGACTGTGGCTTTTGACACAAAAAACAAAAAAAAAAAAAAACCGTTATTGATAGATTTCGAATAAACTTGTAATTAATCGAATATTATTAAAAAAAAAAAACTCACGATTTTGATTTCGTTCCAGACGTGACGGTTTTTGTTGATAAATAACCTTTCTTTTTACCACTAGATTTTCCAAAAGCTTCACTTTCTTTTTCAGGGGATGAATCTGATGATCCATTATCGGCTGATGTTATAGGTTTATAAGGTGGAATCGTCTTAACGTTTCCCCCTTTTTTCTAAATACAAAGAAAATGAATATAAAAATTAAAATTTATAAAAATTCACCGCAAGCATTCATTCGAAATATTAAATCAATTACCAATTTTGAATAATGATGTTGGCAGTAACCGCAATATTTAACATTATCCAAATAATTACCAGCTTCTTCGCACAACAAACCAAGGGCTTGGGCACATGTGACGTGAAACTGTTGTTTACACCCAGTTTTATTGCACTGCATACAAGCTCCGATTGTACTTTTGGTCCCTTTTCCTTGTTCTTGGCAAATATAACATATCTGAAATATCGTTTTTTTAGTAAATATTTTTAATTACATATACATAAGTTCAAATTGTGAAAATTATTTTACCTTGTTATATCTTTCTGAAGGTATTAATTGAAGTATGATAGGTTCCATAGTAGTGACATTCCCAAATCTAACTTCTGGAATGTATAAAGCACACACGACATGTGCCCATCCACTATTATCAGTACGTTTTAAAGCTCCATCTTTTGATGGACATAATTCACACCTTACTCTAGCAGCTCTTTCCTGACTTTCACATTTTCTACAGAACCATGGTCCAGTAGGAACAGTCACAATACCATAGCAAGCTAATAAATTATAAATAAATTTTTATTAATACTTATTATTTATATAATTCGGATTCAATATTTATTTATTATAAAATATTTAATTAAGAATTTCTGCGTGTGTTGAATTTAGTTTACAAAATTGATTTGTGGTTTTGATATCGAGAGTGTGCATACTAAGTATGGTAAGAAATCAATTTACACAGTATAGACTATACAACAATTTTTTTACATTCATACCATTAAGTATAAGATTCTTTTAAAAACAAAATTATTTACAATAAAATTCTTATCATTACTACATAAGTTTTTTGACCCTGAAAACCGGCCATTTATAATTGCTAAAAATAGCAATTGTTTAAATTCGTCAAAAAAAAAATTTGATTTATGTAAAAATTTAAAGATATTACGTGTACAACAAGGATTGAAATCGAATCGAGAATTCATGATAGTTATTAAAAATGTATTTTATCATTTCGCGCTTTAAAATTTAAGCGTTCATAATCGGCTTTCAAGTAATTTAGTTAACAAAAAAATATTTTTAATTACCTTGGTGGACTGCAACCGTACAACCTTGACCATCACAATACACCAACGGATTTTCCGTCCAACCTCTTTCATCTGAACATACACAACAACCGCCCAACATTTCTTTCGACATTTTTTTGGGAACTAAAATAGCAGTAAATACTCTGCTTCGTCACGAGAAATTATGCATTCATATTCAAGCACTTTCATATTTTCTAGAAACATTTTAAACCTAATTTCAGCCATTGTATGTTACTTTAAAAACAGTTTAATTCCATTTATCATCTCTAATATAAGTTTTCATTGATTTATTTATAAATCACTATTATTATTATTTTGGCGAATCTATAAAAACAACGCCATTAATATTTAGACATAGCGCATGTACTAATTTCCATTGCTGCCAACATAAATTTTTTCAACTTTGAGAGTTTAAAATTTTATTTACTCTATGAAAATTATTACAACTTATCTATATTACCGAACGAACTTTGTTTCAAATTAGAATATTTAATAATTAATTAAATAATGTAATTATTTTAAAACTGATAAAAACCTTTTTATGCATTTTAAAATGAAAGCGCATGAGACTTTTGAACTTAAGACTTTCATAAATTATGCAATTAAATATTTAATATTTATTTTATGATAAGATATCTGTAAATGTTTTTATTGATACTCGATTGAATTTAAAAAAATCTTAAATTTTTAATCCAAGGGATTATTGAATTTTTATTTCAAAAGAAAACTTCATCGCGTTTGAGTGAAAATATTTAAAAAAACCTTGGTAAGCTCCATAACTTGTTTGTTGCATGCAAAACCAATTAAAATAATTTTAAATATGGTTGCATGTTGATTTTTTTAAAAATATTATTTCTATAATAACGTCAATTAAATTCATTTTAGAAAAAAAAACTAGATAATTTAATATAATTAATAGGAAAACAAGATTTTTCTAATTTTCCTTTTCTTACCTGACAGGTAAAAAAACAGAATTTTGTTGTCATTCAGGTTTGGAAACTTGATACCTCAAAGTATTTTTTTTTTCTTTCTTTCAGGAAAATGAGTACCGATTTTAAAGTAGTAAGACTTCTTAGTGCCCATATTCCGGGTACGTTTGAAGTTCTAAGACAATCTTTTTTTCCGGATGAAAGAGTTTGTAATTGTATCCGAATTCTGCAAGATTCTCAAGAATTAAAAACGGATTCAAAGTAAGAACGAAAAATATTTTAATTTAAATTTTTTTTTTTTTTAATTTGTGAACCTTAAATTAAATTGTGAACCTTATTAAATTAAATTTAACGTTAAATTTTGTGTGTGTGTTCAGGTATAAGGTGACAAAAGCCACAAAAGAACTCGAAGATTTGGCAATAGCTTGTATTAAAGATGGCGTATCATTTTGTGCTGTTGATACAAAAACAAACGAAGTATTAGGAGTTGCTCTTAACAAAATTCAGGTATACAATTTTGTTTAAAAACAACATTTTTATACAATTCCTATTTTTCAATTAATTATTTCGGATTTTTCCAGATAAAACCTAAACCTGGGGAACCATGTTTTTTTGAAAAGTTCACCGTTGAAAACGTACGAGAAGAACCGACGAAAGTTTACATGAATTTTATGATCGACATTGATGGACGTTACGATTTATGCGGAAACGATGGTACCTGTTATTTCGAAATTGCGTACCTCGCTGTCAAATCGACGCATAAGGGTAAAGGAATAGGTACGGCTTTGGTGACGGCTTCTGCTAAACTAGCTCAAGATATGAAAATGGCAAACGAAAATAAAAACTCGACCGTGGATTTATACTCGGGAGGAGCGTCCGAATATCGGGATTCTAAAGCACTAAAATACGCACCGAAATGCGTGAGCGCCATTTTCACGTCCAGATTTTCCCAGAAATGTGGAGCTCGAAGTGGTTTTACCGAAGTTTTAAAAATACCCTACACCGAATTCGAATACAAGGGTAAAAAATTTTCAGAAACAACCGATCCGGATCATCCTTATTCTACTCTATCCGTTAAAACACTATCTTAAAAGAAAAATTGATAACAGGATCATTAATAATAATAATAAGGTATATAATACGATGATGATAACAACAACAACAACAACAGCAACAGCAATAATAATAATAATAAAACAATAAAATTTTTAATTAACCAGTCTTTAATTGAGCTTATTTTTCTCCTTCAGAAAATTCCAACCGAAATTATTACCTATTCTATAAATTAGAATAAATTTAAATACAAAAACAAAAGTACCGAAAATAATAATAATAATTACATACAAACATAATAATAATAATAATGAAAACAGTTAACCTTTAAAAAAATTAATAAATAAATAAATAAACAAAAAAAATAAAAAGAATAAGAAATTATTAAGGGTTTCATTGTAAAATTATTAACATGTAAAAAAAAAATAATAATAATAATTAATGAATCTTAATTGAAAAAATAAATAATAATAATAATAATAATAATAGTTTTTTTTACCTTAATTCGAAAAGATAACGTTATCATATTTTATAATTGAATTTCATACGGAGCAAATATTGAATTTTAACTTGGCTGACGTCGTAAACGATGTATCTGATATAGGAGGTAAGGAATTTTCATAGAAGTTAAAACATGTCAACTGCCCCCCCCATCTCACCTCACCCCCTCGCAATAATAATAATAATAAATACGATTATTCGTGTTCGAGCAAAAAGGATACTCGTTGTACAACAAAGCCGAATCCTTAACGTCGGCATCGACTCCTTTTCCCACGGGTACTTCGACACCCGTCGGTGATATGATTACCTCCGTCGGATCGGGTTGTGTCCTACCCACGCCTTTCACGCTGTTTTTACCCGATGGAAGTTTCACAATGTTTTTGGCTTGAGTCAATTCCAACCTGAAATAAACACACAGTTACGTAATTACTCCCCAAATTTTTTTTTTAAAAAAAGATAAAATTTTATGAGGGGGAAAAAAAAAAAAAAATAATAATAATCATCATCAACTTACATTTTACCTAATGCCACTTCGCAAAGTAATAAAAGACCCGTGCAATTTTTTTTACTCGTGTTACAATAATTGGCAGATTTTGAAACCATATCCGCAAAATAAATACCCTTACCAAACATGTAACCCGTAACGGGAGCTTCGGGTGGAGCAATACGCAAACCCTTTAACACAAATACTCTAATAAGTAAATAATATATTTATTTATTTATTTATTTTTATTTTCTTGTCTGGCGTCATACCTGTGATAAAATTCCAGCGAAATTTGTTATTCTAGAACCGTGCCATAAAAGTTTTCGATTTGACATTTTACTATTTTTCTCATATCTTTCACTTTCACCTTTTCTTTCAATTTTGAATACCTTAAAAGAAAAAAAAAATTGTTTAATAAATAAAGTACACTTTATTTATTTATTTATTTATTTATTAAAAAAACTTACGTTTTCAATTTCAAGTGAATAATTCGTATGCGTTTTAGCGTGAGTGTTTTTAACGTAAATTTCGATGGTTTTATATTCATCCGTTTCCGGATCCAGATCGATTATTTCCGCGTTTAATTTACCGTAATGATCGTCTATCGAATTTCCAGAACCTTCGCATTCTTGCAAGAGTCTATAAGCAATTTCAATGTCCAGCAAACTATTCAACATTTCGATTTTTTGCTTAATTATTTCGTTATTGTCCAGGAGAGGAGGGGAACCGATTCCAAAATCGTGTGGAACGAGAGAATAAAACATGTTGGTTTTTTCAATGTAATGACTTCGTTCGGAATTTTTTTTAATTAAATTTTGTAAAGTCGTGAGAATTTCAAAAGCTTTTCGAATTTGTTTCTGACTTAATTTTCCCAACGGCATTTTATTTAAATCCAATTCGAATTCCAACATGGTTCTCTTCATGGCCTCTATGTCGAATATGAGAGTTATTAAATTTTGTACTGATTTCGACAGGGTTTTCGAATCTAATTTGGGTTTTAATTTGTCCTTTTCTTTTTCCTCGTTGTAATGCTCAATGTCGAGCATGATTTTTTTACCCGGTACTTTTTTAAATTTTTTCCTTTTTTCCCATTTATTTCCCGTTTGTTCTTCAAACGTTTCCTTAAATAAATCAATGCAGTCTTCTAACGTTTCATATTCTTCGCATTTGTTACCACCGATTGTGGTACCGATGCGGCCCCAAGCTCTAAATACCCAATATCTGGAAAAGATTAATGTGTGACCAAGTGGTTATTTAATTATTATTTGAATATTTGGATACTTACTTTTTTTTCTTATCACTTTCGAGTATTTGCATTTTATAATAACTGTTTTTATCACTTTGTACATCCACCAAACTCAACACGAAATTGTATATGTCATTTCCTTTACGATAAACGTGAGCAATTTGTTCCAGTTTTGAATCTGGATCTACAGCTAATCCATCTTTAACGGTCACTTTTTTAACGGATTCGTTCGATTTGAACATTTTTGATTTATTTACCCGAGATTCTTTGGCTGGATACACGGATTTTTTTGTTACAACAATCTTATCATCTTCTTCCACGATTGTTATTTTAGAAGGCTAAAAAATTTTTTTTTTGGAAAAAAATTAATTAAAATCAAATTAATCGGTGATTCGAGTCAAATTATTATAGATAATTTACGTCGAAATTCCAAGGAGAAATTTTATTTTCGTTAATTTTTTGCACAAATTCTTTTTTCGAAGTACAACTATTTATGTCGTCAAAAAATTTATCAGATACGACAGGAATTTCAGCTTTTTGAGCCGAGTTCAAAGTTTTCGAGTTTTTCATATTTTTTAATTCATCTGAAACAAAAGTATCCTTTTTTTAATAAAATACACCCAAAAAAAAAATTCTATAACCGTAAAAAAATTCGTACTTGACGTGGAAATAACAGCAGTTAAATCCTTTTCGAATTTTTTTGTAATTTCTCCACCAAGCTCTGAAATTAACTTTTTAATTTTATCTGAATTTTTTTCATGAGTTTTATGAATAAAAAATTTAAATGTTTTCAATGGCGTTTTTGACAAATTTTCATCACTCGATAATGGTTCATCTTTTTTTGGTGATTCGTTAAATAACCTTTCTAAAACTTTTCCCTTGAATTTGTTACTGAAATAAATATTACAAATTAATTTTTTAAATCAATATTTAAAAAGCAAAACAAAAATTTCATTTGTTGTAATAAGTAACTTACAGAAAAGTATATTTTTCTTTAAGTTCATTAGGTACTTTGAAAGGAACTCTCGATGGTTTAGTATTAACCGCTTCACATTTTAACCATTCATTACTATATCCTGTACAAGTGTAACCTTTTCCAGATGTAAAATTTAACTGTCCTTTACACTTTTCACATTTTTTCAGAGCTCCAAAAGCCATTCCATCAGTGAGTCTTTCTATCATCTAAAGAATTGATGCATTGACAATTTACAAACTTTATTATATGTATAATTAAAATAACTTACTCTTGTTGGCCCTTCAGGAATTTCTTGATTGTTAAATTCTAAAAGTAACTGCAATTCAGGTTTTTTAAGAGGTTTAAGTAAATCATGATATTTAAAAATTAAATCATTTTGTTTTTTTAATTTTTTTTTAAATTCATCATTCACATCTTCTTTTAATTTTTTCGGAGGTGATGGTCCATCTTTCGAAGAATGACTGAAAAGCATATTCGAAATAAAAAAAAATTTTTTTTTTCAAAAGAAATTAGTGAAAAACAGGATACTAACTTATTCAATTCTGGAATTTTAGTTTTTAATAGATTTTGATCTTCTTCGGTTAAAGTTTTAAAACCAGGCAATACTTCTCCTGAACTGAAAAATTCTAATTCTTCTCTAGCTTTAACAAAACAATCAACATGATGCCACCTGTCTACAGGACCATATTTTAGAGCGATTTCTCCTTCGTAGTCTTTTTTCGATATTCGAATTTCATCCTTAATAAAAAAAATTAGTAATTAAAAAAATTTTTATATTACAGAAATTACATAATTCATGTTTATGACTCTTACTTTATTTATTGTTTCTTCGCAAACTTTACATTTAGCTCTTTTACTTTTGGCATATTCAACTTTGTAATCACCCAAGTCTGGAATATTACTCGGACTTGGTTTATTTCTTTTTTTTGATTTAGTAGTTTTCCCTTTAGTTTTAGTTTCAGGTTCAGGAATTTCAAAAGCATTAGCTAAAAAAATTTAATTAAAAAATTAAACTGACAGCTTTTTATAAAAATTTCATTTATATATAGAATAATTTACCAATTTTGTTTTTAATGGCTTCTTGATCGTCCCATCGAATAGATTCAAAGTGTGCAATACTAGAAGAATCTTTGGGTCTAAATTTTTTAAAAAAGCAAGAAAAATGATACCAATTAGGTTGTTTCCCATCAAAAAAAGGTGACTGCAAAAAAATTATAAAATTTATTAAAAATTCTTTTTTCAAAGTAGTTTGTGCAAAATATTAAAACTGTAAAATTAATTTATGTCAATATTTAAGGTATTTGTAAATTTTTTTTTGAAATCAATTTTTTATACTTGAATTTTTCTAAATATATGTAATCGTATGAGAAAAATATTTTAATCAACTGTCAAGAAGGCTTAAAAATTATAATTATATTTATCGTACTTGAACCATAACAGCTAATCGTAGACTTTCTTTTGCTATATTTTCTTTGCACCCTTTGCAAGAAGCTCGACCACTTTTCGCATATTCTGCACGGTATGGTAAATTATCCGGCTCCATTTTCAATCAAATTAACATTCATATAAAAGTAAAAAAACCGCGGGGTTGGTAAACCATAGAGTAATAAGTACCAAAGAGTGAGCTTTTAAGTTCTTTTGACACTGAGTGCAATTATCATTATGTGAATATTTTTACAAGAAATATCAAAAAGAAAAATAATTGATTTAAAAAATGAACATATAGATGAAAGAAATATAATTAAATATAATAAAAATTTTGCATTAAAGTTTTTATGCAAAGTTTTAAAGATACAAGTAATTTAAATTTTGAATTACAGTTTGACAGGTGTGTGTGTGCACATTATATAAAAATTAAGTTAACGGATTTAAAGAAATGAAAAAATAAATTATTTTTTTTTACAAAGCAATTATTATAATAAAATTGTTATTATAGTTCATTAATCTATTACAGTAAAAAAAATTTTAACGATCGTTGTATTGTTAATAAATTGTAACTTGTACTCTCTGCAATTGCAAAATACTAATTGCTTTTTAGGCAAGTAGAAATTTAATATGAATACCTCAACAGTTTGTATTGATTATGAAGAGGCTGTCCAATTAGTTGAAGAATTAACCAAATTTCTACTTGACAGTTCAAAAAAGTCAGAATTACTGGATGAATTACCAGAATTAATTTTAAATTTTGAAAAATCTGCTGAAAGTAATAAAGCTATAGATGAGCATTTTGACTCCTTAAGTAAAAAGTTAGATAATTCATCTGAATACTTAGACTGTGACACAGTTATAGATTCTCTACTACCTGATAATTTGATGAATATGGAAGAGGAAGATGAACATCTTCTTGAATCTTTAAATAGAGATGCTCAAGATGAGGACTCTGAGGATGATAATACTGATTTATTTTTCGATGAGGTAGGAAATAAAAGTTTACATGATAAATCAAGTAAAAATATCTCACATGTGAAGAAAAACTCGAATAATACTATAAAGTTTGACAAATCTCAGTGTGTTAGTAAGTTAGAAAAATTGAAAAATGACTTAATTTTACAAGAATTTAAAAATGAAATAAACAAAATTAATGATCAAGTTAATAATGTGAAAACTTCGGAAAGATATGAAAATTTAATGAAATTAATATCGGAAAACAATTTAAAAAATGATGATGAAGAAATCATCACGGTGGCACAAAATATCAATAATATTGATCCTATAACAAAATTACCTATTGTGAAAGGGGTAAAAAATAAAATTTGCGGTCATATTTATGAAAAAAGTAGCATCACTCAATTAATTGCAAGAAATCCAAAAACGAAATGTCCAATCGCAGGGTGTGTTGCAGCCGATTATGTGCACTTAGATGACTTGATTTCAATTTAGTATTTAAATTATAAATTTATTTGTAATATTTTAAATTATAGCATAATTATTAATTTTGGCAAACGTTTTGTTCATTTGGATGTAACTCTAAAGTTGAGTCCTACTCAAATAATTTTGATAAATATTTTTGAAAAAAATATTTGCCTTTCCATTTATATTTAAAAAATCAGTATTTTTTTTTTTTATTAAATTTTTTGCTTTAAAATAATTAACTCATTGTTTGTTTCATACAAAATTATTATAAACAAGGGATTAAAAATCCAGCTTTAGGGGGGCGGGGGTTCACTTAATGTCATGTCAGGGATAATGATCATTAAAATTGATAAAAAAAAAAAGTACATTAAGATGATTGAAAAGCTTTTAAGGGTACTTAAAACTGATAAAAAAACAAGTTGCATTGTTATTACTTTAACAAAAGTTTATTTAAAAGTAGTAATTTGTTTTTGAAAATATTGGAGGACGATTTTCGAAAAGAAAGTAAAAGAAAAGTTAATATTAAAAAACCCGCGTCATAATACTTTGTATTGTTCGCCTTGTTGCGTACTGTATAAATTCGCCTTGTTGTATAATATGTTTACATTAATAGTAATGAACTACAGTATTTTAAATTTTTTTGTGTAAATAATTAAATATTAACCATGTCAAACATAAAACGTTATTATTCTTTTTTGCTCGGTATTATTGCAGCGTCGGTTACATGGTCTGTCGTTTTGTATTTTTATATTAGACTTGGAAATGACACATCCATGTATGTTTCAAGTCAAGTTAATTACAGTGTTCAAAATACAAATGAGAACCAAGTCTACAATTCTCAAAATAATGAAATTCATCCCTATGAAGATGTATTAAGTTTTTTTTACGGTAAAAAAAAGCTTTATAAAAATAGTGAAAATTTAATTCATCATTTGAGAGCTGTCATTCCTGACAGTTCTAAAGATTTAGGTAAATTTATGATATAGCAAAGTATTTTGAAAACATTTGTACCTTATAAAATACTTATTTAAATTCAAAATTTTAAAGAGTAATTTATAATTCTCAATTTTTAATGTTTTACATTTTCGTAATTTTTGTCTCAGAAAGTGAATTGGGTCTTGTGAAATCAATTCAAGATCGAAGAAAAAGAGATGAAGGCTATAAAAATTTTGCTTTCAACATTTTAGTGAGCGATGCAATTGGAATTCACAGAGAATTACCAGATACAAGACACAATTTGTAAGATTTTTTATATAATATTCTGTTAAACTTTAAAAAACCTTAATAGAAAAAAAACTTTACTTTAAAAATCAAACATTTATTGATTTTTTTTTTTTTGTAATTGACAAGACTTTTTATTTTTTAGATGTAAAAAGAAAAAATACAGTAAAAATCTCCCTACTGCAAGTGTTATTATATGTTTTTACAATGAACATTTTACAACACTTTTAAGAAGTATTTATAGTGTATTAGAAAGAACTCCTTCATATTTATTAAAAGAAATTATTCTCGTTAATGATTTTAGTGATTTAGGTAAAATTTTTTTTTTACTTATAAACTTAATAAAATCCTTTTTTTTTCAATGATAAATGATTTTTTCTTATTGAAATTTTAGCTGGTCTACATCGCAATATTAGTAATTATGTAAATACAAATTTTACTGACAAAGTAAAATTATTCAAATCGAAAAAAAGACTAGGGTTAATTAGGGCTAGGATTTTCGGGTCTAGAAAAGCCAGCGGAGATGTAATTATTAATTGAATAATAACAAAACGAAAAGATTTTTTTTAACTTACAGAAATGTGTGATTTAAAAACAAAAACATTTTCTTATTTAGGTTTTAGTGTTTTTGGATAGCCATATAGAAGTTAATGTTAATTGGCTTCAGCCATTACTTAGCAGAATTGTGGATTCGAAAAAAAATGTAGTCGTGCCAATTATCGATATAATTAATGCAGATACTTTTAAATACTCATCCTCTCCTCTTGTTCGAGGTGGATTTAATTGGGGTAATGTACAATGCATTTATTTTACTGATTGCATACATTTTTTAATTAATTTCAATTTATTTATGAATGAATTAACAATTAATTTTAAAGGTTTACACTTTAAATGGGAAAACTTGCCTAAGAGTACATTAAAATCAAACGAAGATTTTGTCAAGCCCATATTAAGTCCCACAATGGCCGGAGGTTTATTTGCCATAAATAGAGCATATTTTAAAGAATTGGGTGAATATGATAATGGAATGAATATTTGGGGTGGTGAAAATTTAGAAATATCTTTTAGGGTAAGTTTTTGTGCATTAAATGCATGGGGTGTGATGTCGCTTCCAATTAAGGGTTATAAATAAAAAATTCGAAATTTTCTTATACAGATATGGATGTGCGGTGGTAATTTAGAATTGATACCGTGTTCTCGTGTCGGTCACGTTTTTCGTAAAAGAAGGCCGTACGGTTCGCCCAACGGCGAAGACACGATGATGAGAAATTCGCTCAGGGTTGCCAACGTTTGGATGGATGATTATAAAGTATGGAGATTACTCTTGTTTATAACAAAAAGAAATTTAATAGTAATTTTTTTATTACTGAGTTTTTATAGTGAATTCTTTCATTTTTTTTTTTTTTTAGGAATTTTTTTACAAACAACATCCGGAGGGTAAAACTTTTCCATTCGGTGATATTTCGGATCGATTGAAACTTCGTAAAAAACTTCATTGTCATTCTTTCGAATGGTATTTGCAAAATATTTACCCGGAACTCATATTGCCAAGCGACAACGAACAAAAATCTAAAATCAAATGGAATGCGTTAGAACAACAAAAATTTCAACCTTGGCATTTGAGAAAAAGAAATTACACGGCACAATTTCAAGTAAGTTTTTTTTTTTCTATATACCAATAATTTCCGTTGTACCGAAATGATTGTGTGTGTGTGTGGGTGCGGGTTTTCAATTTACAAAATGTCGAATTGAGTTAAAACTGCGTAAGTGATAATCCAAAAAAATAATAAAACGATTGTTAATAAGAGGATATTGTTTTTCATGGGCGACGTAGGATTTTGATGTTCTTCCATTTTCTCGAAATTTTTCAAACGATGAAATTTATTGCATTCTTCGTAAGAACACGCGTGAACGGTTGTCAACGGTTGAACGTTCGATTCGCCCATTAAAGATTTCGATGATGAAACACTTTCTCGACATTGTTTAGAATCTCGTATTCGCGATTCGATGTACGTCATTTCCGGAAACTGAAAAATAATAATTGTTACGTAATGATGACGTCTTCGTAACACAAAAGAAAAAAATTAAAAGAAAAAGCGTACCTGATTCGATTTACAGGTATCGTTTGTCGTAACGATTGGCGAATTTTTCATTTCCGTCGCGAATGACATGTTGAAATTGTAACGGACGAAGAAAATATTACCTGTGGAAAATATTTTAGCGTCGTCGTCGTCGTCGTCGCCGCCATTAAGACTACAAGATAATAATTAATAATAATATCTTTCGAAAGATTTAATAATAATAAGTTGAGGATTAAACGATCAATTTTTTATACTTTGATCTTTTTTTTTCTTTTTTTAATTTTGTTTTTGTCGTAGGTCGTCAAATTCTCCTCATATTTATTTATTTAAATAAACAATATTTAACTCTGCCATTTTTATGACGTCATAATTTTCTCACCATCTGTAAAGATGATGATTAGAATAAAATCATGTGTCAAATTTAATAATATGTTTGTTAAATTAATCTAAAATTTTTTTTTGTATAGGTAAAGAAAATAATAATAATAATAATAATAAAAGGTTCACTATTGTATTTCTCCAAGTTATTTTAATTGTTTACAACAACAACAACAACAGCGAAAAAAAAAAAAAATTCTCTCATAAAAATTAATTAATATTTTTAACATAAGCCTTTTTAAAAAGGCATAAATTGCGTAATAATCGAAAATAGAAAATAAATAATAATAATAATAAGTGTTAAATTTATTTCCCAAGCAAATGTTGAACCGTGGATAACCTTTTTGATTTATATTACTTTAGTTTTTATTTAAAAAAAGAAATATTTGATATTTAATAGTAGGTTTATATTTGATTTCAGTTGAGGCTCTTTAACACTTCCTTATGCGTCACGAGCGAGAGAGACGTCAAACACAAGGGATCCCCTTTAATATTAAGTCCGTGCCTGAGAAGGAAAACTCAGGTTTGGTATCAAACGGATAAAAACGAACTCGTTTTGGCCGGGCTTTTGTGCATGGATGCATCGACCCCTTATCCGAAAATAGGAAAATGTCACGAAATGGGTGAATCGCAAGAGTGGTTGTTGAAGAAAACGAAGGTTTGTTTGTTTTCGTTGACGTCATATAAAGAAAAAGGACAGCAAATTGTTTTTATTATTATTATTAATTTGTTTTTTTCTGATAGAAAAATACTCTTGTGTATAACGTTGCTGCTGGTACCTGTCTTGGAGTGAGCGAAACACCCTCATTTCAGTCAATGGTATCCATGGAATTATGTTCTAAAAAAACAGGGATAAGATGGGAAATTATATCCACCGCATAATGATGATTATTTACGGTTGTTACGGAGGAAGGGAAGAAAGGAGGAAGGAGGGAGAGGGGGAGAAATGTGCATTTATTAACAAACACGTCTAGTCAAGTTTGAAAAAAAAAAAAAAAAAATTTTTTTTGCCATGTTTGTATTATTTTTAAATGGTAAATTATTATTTGGTTGTGGATCGTCATATTGTTTTTAAGGATGCATTTATATTTGTAATTCGTCCAAGCAGATGAAAAAAAAACTGCAAAAAAGACTGTTTTAAATAAATCATGTAAAAAATTTATATATATTTTTTATTAGAAAAAGAAATTTTTTTTTTTTTGCCAAAAAGAAGTGAAAGGAGAAAATCAACGAAAAGAAAAAAATTAATTAATTATTTTATTATTTATTTATTATTATTATCTTTTTCGTTTTGTCTCAAATTTTTTTTTAGTATTATTTTATTAAAATATTTTTTTTTTTTAAAGAAAATTTTTGTATACATTCTTTGAAATTGTATTTTTATCAAAAAAAAATTTTTTAAATACCTGCCTGTAAATTAAATTTAATAAATTTTTATTTACTCACCATTAAAATTTTCATTCTTAAGGTT